GAATATTCTTTAGGAATTTGTTGAAAAGACTTTCTTTGGTATGAATTTTGGTGAATTCTTGGTGTGAATTTTCACATATAAAATTACTTCTACCAAGGAACTATGTAATTTTATGCTCTGTTATATATTGTTTCTTCAAATAATTTTGTCAATTCATCTTGACATTAGAGACATGAGTAAGTCTGTTTGAACATTGTTAAGTAGAATTGTTTTACCTTCCAAAAGACATTTATTTGTTTGACATGACACTGTACTGAAATCTCATTTGCAATCTGACCACCAAAGATATTAAAAATAGTTTCTAATTTATACTAAGTGGTTATATTTCTTCCTTTATGTACTACTTGGTAATGTTCCTTTCTAATTTACTTTTGTTTTACTTATAAGTTTTATAAACTTTGCACAATAAAGAAATTGACTGGTTACAAAACAGGTTTGTAGAAATAGCTAAGGGTAAGATTGATTATTTTAACAAATGGACTAATCAATTAACTTAATATAATACAATAAATCATCAATCCCAAGTCCATTGATTTAGAATGACAGGAAAATGCCACTAAACTCAATGCTATAAAAATAATATGACAGAAATTTCAGCCCTCATTGTAATTATTAGGTGACAAAAATGACAGACAGAGAATAGTAGAGTGGGAGTGAAGAGGAAAGGAGTAACTACTCTAAGCTTTATGGATCTAGTTTATCATGCTCTTCTTACCACCGAATATTAAAGGAAAAATTGCAATTGTGATAGTAAATTAAAGATTATTCCAATGTGCATCTCCCGATGCAATGTTATGGTCTGTCTTCTATGCATTTCCTTCTCAAAAGAGAAGGAAAGTGACTTATTCAACAAAGGTTTCCATGAGTAGAGCCACACTGTGGCTAGCTGCAAGTCAGGGTTTTGCCCTAAAATCTTCTGTAAGAATGCTGTCTTTTCTCAAGTCACAATGAAATACATTTTAGAAGTTATATTGTTGTATTATCTCATATTAAAAATAGATTCAAGTTCTTCTAAATATTTTCTTTTGCATTCAGTTTTTATTATGAATCATTATTAGAAAGTCATAGGCTGGAAAATCTCAAAAAAGTCCACCCAATATTACAAAGAGGTTATAATGCAAATCATTGCTACTTTGATATTTATTTGTTCATTCTTAAATTACTAGAAAGAAGATTCTACATTCCTAGTACAGATCTCTCATTTTCATATACAAAAAAAGAAATAATACTAAATAGCACATTTCTCTGATTATTGACAACAAAGTGGACAAATGTTGCATCTACAGATGGTTTGATTATATTGTAGTGGGTGATAAGATGCACCATAATCAGTAGAATTTTACAATTTCTCTTGTGGATCATGGCAGAAAGCATAGATAAACTTTTTAGCATCTGCTGGACAATTATATCATTCTAATATGTAATCCAATTTTGTCTGTTACACTTTTCAGAACTTATATCAAAGGCTTTATTATTCGATTGTTAAGATAGATTGTAGTGTATAAATTCATTGATTTTGGATCTATGTAATGTCAAAGCAACATATTAAAAATTATAAAATCTAGTCAACTATCTACATGTCTGGTTGATGAAATTTTAGTTTTTTTAATCAATCACTTTGTTGGTTCCAATGTATAATTGTTTTGTATGTTTATTTGGTTGGTTGGTCGATTTCTTTGAGATGAGGTCTTGCTTTGAAGTTGCACTTACTGTGTAACCCAGGCCTGGCCTCAAGTTTATAGCAATACTCTTGCCTCAGCTTCCTGAGTGCAGCTATTAGAAATGTGCTCCACCATGCCTGTCTCCAATGTAGAGATTTTTAAATATGTAGAAAATATAAATACAAAAATAAACTAATATCTAGCAATAAGAGTCAAACACTAGTACTGTATTGGCATACTTCCTTTGAAACTTTATGTATAGGACTTCATACATATTTGAAAATAACATGCTATTCATTTCACACATGCATTTAAATATAAAAGAAAACATGACATCATATATTTTCTACAGAAAACAGAACATAATTCAATAATTTTAAATTTTGGGGGGTCAATAGTTAAGTTCAAAGAGACATTTCCAATAATCCATATATTCAATAGGCAAATGAAAATTTCCTTTTTTGTTGTTTTTGGTACCGGGGATTGAACTTGGGTCATTGCACTTGCGAGGTAGGCGGCAGAACCACTGAGCTAAATCCCTGGCCAAAACTTCTTATTCATAGTAGTTTGCTTTATTATAGTCAAGTAGTGGACATAAATTTGTATCATACACATACAATTTTTATGTGGTTTTTTTCTCTTAAATACTTTAGATATGTCTTTTCATTATTTCATCAATTAAGATAGCTCGTGTTTAGTGTCTGAAGTTCAGTGATAAAAATTTTTGAGAAGATGAGTAAAATTTTGGTACTTAGCAGATTTCTGAATCAGTATCTGTGTTTTGTTCAGTACTCTTGTGTTAGAGTGGATGAATATTCAAATAATTGATAAAAAATCACATATTCTATGTAGAAGTATAGTTCTTATATACTGAAATTAGAAAGATGTTATGAAATATCAATCATTACAACTCTAAATTATGTATATGTGCTTCTAAATATTTGTGATTTACATTTTGTGAATTATAGCATGAATCAATGAAATTACGTGGTGATGACTTATTAAACAGTACCTGCTTGCTTGGTACAATTTCTGAAAAAAATAGGAAAGAAAAAGGAAACAAAGGATGAGTAATATTTTAATAGAAACTAGAATGCATGGTAATACAGTCAAATTTTTTTCCCCCTTGAAGACACAGTATTTATTTTGTTAAAATCAAGCAGGATGTTCTGTTGATCAGTAAGTGGCAAGTGTCAAACATGAAATATATACACATTTGAAACAATATGCTGCAGGATACAGGCTGTACACTTCCCAGGTGAGAGAAGGCCCTCTCTGCAGACTTCCACAGCTTTGCTATGACAGGGGCAAGAATCACCCACCACTTCCGAGTGCCCAGGGCCAACTGGTAGCACCCTATCTGTTTTAATAGCAATGATACATCTGTGTACTGAGTTATGTACATGGAGACCCCTGGAGTCTTCCATTCCCTGTGAAGCAGACGTTACAGAGGCAAAGCGAAAACCAGATGGGAAGGGTGTCATGATGTGTACTTGGCTAAAAGGACACCAGAGCACTGTGTGCTGCTAAGTATAAGACAGAGTCCAGAAAGATACGTAAAGGCTGGGAGCACACAGACTTGATTACTCGCATTTTACACCTGTATTAGTAAAAGAGTCCCAATACTGGATTTGAGGGGAAAGAATCACAGGTCAAAAAAACTGTCTAAATTATAAACAAAATAATCAAGTTACTCGTGAGGTCCGCGGCCAGCCAGCGGCCCATGTTCACAGAAAGGGGCTACCAGGGGGACAGGAGGAGGGAGCTGCTGCCGCAGAGTCACACGTTTCCAGCGAGGAACAGCTCAGCCCAGCAGGCATGAGCACCTCTGAAAGCACTCGTCCTTTTGGCACTGGGCGGCTGCTGAGGGCAGGGCGAGAGCGAGAGCGGGCGCGGGCGAGGGCGTCATCACCTGCGGGACTGAGGGTGCCCGATGGGACTCGGCTGTAGGAAAAGCCTTCACTTCCACGCGGCGCCTCCGTGTCAGGCTCAGTATGTGTGTGCGCATGCGTGTGCACGTTTTAGGAAGGCCGTGGTTATTGCTAACCGAGGGAGAAACTCACCACACCTGCTATAACGCTCCTCAAGGGAGTGAGGGAAATGAGGAACAAACATTACCTACACATCCAGTAATCTGAGGGATAACCGAAGCCATTAACCATGGCTCTGGTTAGATGAACTTTTTTCAGCAACACACGGGACCTACAATTATTAGGTTAAAATCAGCAGGTCACAACCACGTCATCAGCAGCTGGACATCGCTGCCTGTGTTCACCTGCCACGCGTATATCTTCTTTAGTGAACTGTCTGTTCAAGTCTGCTGCCTCCTTTTTAACTGGGCTGTTCATTTTCCTACTGGTGAGTTTTCTGAGGTCTTCGTCCATTGTGGGTATAAATCCTTCGTCAGACACGCGACCTGCAAATACTTCCTCTCAGTCTCTTATTGCCAATGGAAACCGCAGCATGATAGTGTTATTTAATGAGTAAATCTCTTTAATGTCCTGCCATTTCAACCCCCAAAAGAGGCACAGAATCTTTAAACTCTGCAGCAGAAAAAGGTCAAGTTTAAGAGTTAAAGAGTCCATGGGGCCCTGATAAGGCAGAGGAAAGCTCTTACAAGTACATGGAATGCAGCCCTCAATGTTTGGGGGCAAACTTGGTGGCAAAACAGAGAAAAACCAATGATCATGAATGACTGTATGTGCATAAGATTAATGTTCTGGGGGAAAAGAAACTGGAAAAATATTCCATGGGTCTCAGGAAATAAATAGGTAACAAGCACATTAGTACTGGACACAAGTAACAAAGTACTCTTACTTGGCTGAATAACATCACTGAATCTCTGATGCCAAGTGAGAAGGACCACAGTGGTTTGTCTGTCATGTGCATGAGTTCTAAAGCATGCACATCATTTCTTTACATGGCACTTACAATCTTAGAGCGAGTGCACCCAACATGTAGGCTGTCCATTTCCCAGCTGGTTTTCAACCATTAGGAAACCACTCATCTCTCCTACATGTTAATCAACTGTCATTCTGATCCTGACTTTGCTGGGTCAGGGAACATGATTATAGGGTAGAGACTAGAGACGATGGACACTCACACTGAGGGCCTGGCAAGGACAAAACCCAGCAGCCCATGTCCAGATGGAACCCGCAGGAAGATGTGCACCAGGGAGTCCCCTCTCATGCATCCTGAGGATGTTCTCGGTATGTTCCCAGGTGGCTGGTTTGGCATCAGAAGATGGGGGAACAGCGGCCCTACTGCTGACCGTGACAGTCTGAGTCCTGAAGGCCCAGAATAGTGGGTTCATGGGTACCACACCAGCCAGTGCCTGGTGTCTCATGTAGTCATGTGTGAGGGAAATGGCTCCGTTCCAAAAGGAAACTAAAAGGTTCATTAAGTGATACCATGCATGGCGATGGAGCTCCGAGGCCGTGGCTGCCCTCTGCCAGGCTGACTGGCCACTTACTTGGCTCTTTCGGGCTGCAGGCTGTTAAGCAGGCACTTCAGCTGTTCTTCCCCCAGGTGGATTTTGTCCTCCAGCTCCCGCTGCTCAATGATGAGGGCCGACTTCATCTTCACGAAGTGCTCATAGTCTGCCAGGCTCTCCTCTCTGAGGTCGGCGGCCAGGATGTCAAACACGATGCGTTCATGGCGGTCCAGGTTCTCTTTGAGTTTCTTGGCATCCTCGTGCTGCTGGATGAGGACTCTCTGCTTCTCCAGCAGAGACTGCCCATCGCCAGGAGAAGGGCTGTCTTCCAAGTTATTGAAGGCGTTTTCCACTAGGGCCAGGCGGCCCGACAGGAACAGCAGCAGGTTCACCACTTTGTCCAAGTCTCCGATGAACATTCGGAACTTGGCGAACTCATTGGGTTTGCAGACACCTTTCGCGATGGCCTCCACCTCACCCCCCAGAGCGGGGTTGGCCTGGATGTCCTCGAGCAGGCTTTCTTGGGCTTCTCGGAGCACCTGCAGCTTGCGACTGATGCTGTCGATGAGCTCCTGCTTCTTCAGGGACAGGTCCCGGTCGAAGTTGCTCCCTGAATCCTCCTCAGGCTCCTGCTGCCACAGGCCCTTCATCTGGATTAGCAGTTCCGCCTTGGGGGCGGAAGTGCTCTAGTAGGTGGAATTGGTGGCCAGAGACACAGCAGCTGGCACACTTGGCTCCTGTTCCTTCTCCTCTGTGGTCCTGGGAGAGGGGATTTTGGAGAGCAGCTTCCTCCACTGCTGAGCCTCCTCCAGGAGATGCTCGTCTTTGGGGAAGATTCCCTCCATCAGGTCCATGGTGGTCTTGATTTTCACTCTGGGTTCCAGGATGTCTGCCAAGGACTTATCCTTGCCCACTATCGTCCTGGCCAGCTCCTCGGACTTCAGGTCCTCTGTCGTCTTCTCTTTGGTCTTGGTGTAGCTGAGCCCTAGAGGGGAGACGCAGATGTCCAGTGCAGGGGCTGTGGGGGGCCCCGGGGGCTGGGGCGCAGGTGGCTGGGGTCTCGGTGTGGCCTCAGCCTCGGGGCCCTGCCGTGTGTACACACAGAAGCGGGAATAGCTCTGCTCCGATGTGCTCAGTGTCTTGATCTGGTCCCGCTCCAGCCCTCTGGGCAGAGCGGGCAACTCGGCCGGGCGTGCCAGGCTCTGGCGACTCTTCTCGGGCTGGCTCTCTGAGTGCACGATTTTGATGGGCACCAACTTTACCGTGGTGTTGTTGTCCATCACCCGCTCGATTCTTGTGGAATGCTCATCTCGTGGATGAGCAGGGGGGGCTTGTCCGTCAGGTTCTGCGGCGCAAACTGCAGCGAGGGGGAGCGAGAGATCTCCATGGCGAAGGCCTGCGGGTGCCGGAACTTGGATGAGGGCAGCGCTTCTGGCCTAGGACAAGGTGTGTCCTCTTTCACATGCTGGCTGTCACAGGCGACGGCCTTTGGGGCGTCTTGGAGCTGGGCACTGCTGAACCCGGAGGGGGTGATTGAGAGGGACAATACAGTCAAATTTATCTGCTAACAACCCTATAATTAGGCAACACAGTCAATTTTCAGGCAAATTTGGAGCAGGGCTTCTCAAGTTAAAGACTGTTTGCTTCACTTATTTTTTTTCTTTCCTTTTTTTAATTGTATATCCTTTTATTGGTACATTTTAGGCATACAATATGACATTCATCATTGGAAAATTGCACCTGTACATACTCTCTTGGTTCTTATTTGTTCCCCTTCCTCTGCCTGCCCTTCAACCCCTCCATCCCTCTCTATTTACAAAGACTTTGTTCCCTTTTTTTCATTTTCTCATATTAATTCCATTCCCTTCTTTCCTTTCCCCTACTCCTCCCACTTCCCCTTCCCGTTTGCCCCGTTTCTTCCTATTTCACATTATCTATTATACCTTTTAGTCTGTATTTACACTTTCAGTTTCTCACACCAGAGAAACTATTTGGTATTTACATGTGTGTCCTATTTATTTCACTTAAGAGTATCACCTCAATGTGCATCTATTTAGCAATAAATGTCTCCATTTTCTCTTTTTTATGGCTGAGTAGTACTCCATTTTATATAAAAAACCACATTTTCTTTATCCAGTCTCCAGTTGACAGGCATTTGGGCTGTTTCCAAGTTTTACCTATTACAAACTATGCGGCTATGAACATGGGTGCACAAATATCAATGTGGTATGATTCTTTTAATTCTTTGGGCAAGATCCCCAGCAGGGGAATAGCTGGGTCAAATGGGACTTCCAGTCCTAGTTCTCTGAGGTACCTCCATACTGATTTCCACAGTGGTTGCACCAGTCTACACTCCCACCAGCAATGGAGAAGGGTTCCTCTTTCCTCACAGCCCTGCCAGCATTTGTTATTGGTTGATTTCATGATAGCAGCCATTCTTTCTAGGGTGAGGTGGAATCTCAGCATTGTTTTCATTTGCATCTCTCAAATGACCAGTGATGTTGAACGTTTTTTCATATTTTTATTTGCCTTTTCTACTTCTTTGTGTGAGAAATGTCTGTTCATTTCAGATGCCCATTTTTGGATTGGGACTGTAAATTTGGGAGGTCTGATATTTTTAGAGATAGTACATCATTGTCTGAGGGACAGCTGGTGAAAATTTTTTACCACATTGTAGGTTGTCTCTGCACACTGCTGGTGGTTTCTCTTGCTGTGCAGAAGCCTTTTAATAAGAAGAGATCCCACTTGTTGTTCGTGGTAGTTCACGGGCAACTGAGGTTTTGTTCATAAAATCTTTCCCTACATCAATGTCTTCAAGAGTTCTACCTAACCTCGGTTCCAGCCAATTCAACATTTCTGTTTTAATATTTAGATCTTTAATCCATTTTGATTTTAGTTGAGTGCATGGTAAGAAATATAGGTCTAGTTTTAGTCTTTGGCAACTTGAAAACCAATTTCTCCAGCACCATTCATTAAAGAGGCTATCTTACCTCCACTGAGGGTGTTTGGCTCTTCTGTCAAAGATGAGGTGGCTGAGTGTGTCTGGTGTTGTTTCTGCATCTTCTAATCTGTTCCGCAGGTCTGGCTCTTTGTCAGTACTATGCCGTTTATATCACAGTAGCTTTGTAGTATAGTTTCAAGTTGGGGGTTGTAATGCCCCCTGCCATATCTCTGTTACCTAGAATTGCTTTTGCTCTTCTAGGTCTCTTTGTCTTCCAAGTGAATTTTTGGATTGTTTTTTCAAGGTCCATGAAGTATGCTTCTGGGATTTCAATGGAGATTGCATTGAATCTATATAGAAGTTTTGGCAGTATGGTCATTTTCACTATGTTTATCCTTCCTACCCAAGAGCAAGGGATGTCTTTCCATTTTCTGATATCCTCTTTAATCTCTCTTTTCAAAGTGCTATAATTTTCAGAGAAGAGGTCTTTGAATTCTTTTGTTAGCTTGATTCCTCAGTATTTCAGTTTTTTGTTGCTATTGTGAAAGGAATTTTTGCCTTATTTTTCTTTCAGTAAGTCTGTTATTCATGTAGAGGAAAGCTATTGATTTTTGTGTGTTGACCTTGTATCCAGCTACTTTACTAAATTTAATTATTAAGTCTGGAAGACTTTTGGTGGAGTTCTTGGGGTCTCCTATATAGAGTATCATCATCTGCAAATAATGACAATTTGACTTCTTCATTTCCTATTTTTATTTCTTTTATTTCTTTCTCTTGTCTAATTGCTGTGGCTAATGTTTCCAAAACTGTATTGAACAGGAGTGGTGATAGTGGACATCCTTGT